AAAATAATGATAAAATTAAGTAAAATAAATCTTTAAAAATATTTTTAAAATAATAAAAAGAAAAAAATAAATTAAAAAATGGGTCCTTGTGCTTGCCTTCTGGGGAGGTGGTCCTGAGCAGGTGAATATATGGCATTTATGCATATATTACATGCAGACTGCCCCTTCTCCCCTCGCGCCCCTGCCTCTTGAGTTATTGGGCTATTTCCCCTTATTTTGCTGCATTTCTATAGTTAAGTTGGTTTTACTTGAATGATTCATGTTTAGGGGGAAAAATGAGAAACACTCTAATATTTGTTTCAACTTCTGCAAATAGAAACATAATAAATGAAGTGGCAGATGTTAAAAAAAAAAAAAGAAAAAGGAAAAAAAAAAGGTTGTCAGCGCTCGAGGAGAAACGCACTGCTCGAGCCAGATCCCACATGGCAACAACGTTCCAAACCCCTGGCTCATGCAGCCTGAGACACTAAGCATGTGTGTGAGTGCCCAGAAGCCATGGGCAAGGGGACTGGAGGAAGGGGATCACCAGACCCCGAGGAGGATGCTCATCTCTCTCTCTTACGCATACACACATGCACACGTGTGCTTTATTGTGAATAAAGAAAAAAAAAATATGGGACCAGCAGGTGATGTGGTGGCTGAGGTGCTGGACACTCACACATGGTCAACCACAGTTCTAGTCCTGGACCTCGTGGCTTGCTTTCTCAGTTCCCCCCCCCTTCTCTCTCTGTCTTTCTCTGTTCAAATTAAGAATAAATGAATAAGTAAATAAAAAAGTAATTATTAAAAAAAATAAAAATAAACACTTTAAAAAAGTAAGATAATCTGGGGTCAGCAGATGACATGGTGGTTGGGGCACACAGCCAACCACAGATTGAGTCCTGGACCTGGTAGCTTGCTTTCTCACTTTCCTTCTCTTTATCACTCTGCCCCTCTCTAGTCAAATTAAAATAAATAAATAAATAAATAAAGTTAAATAAAATAATTCTTTAAAAAAACCCACAATAATCTGCACCCCAATGTTTACTTAGCATTATTCACAATAGTCAATATACAGAATCAGCCTTAGTGTCTATAAATAGACCAAGGGATAAAGAAGATGTCTTAAAATGGGTACATACATACATACACACACTGGAATACTATTCACCCATTAAAAAGAACTCCTGCTGGGACCAGCAGTTGGCATAATGGCTATGTTGCTGGACTCCCATGTAGTCGACCGCAGTCTGAGTCCTGGACTCAGTGGTTCAAACTCATGCTAGGTGCGTGTGTGTGAGTGCTCAAGATCCTGAGAGGAGAATGGCAGAGAAGGGATTGTGGCATGGCCATCCCCCCGGGGATGATTTCTCGTTTTCTGTCTCTCTCTCTCTGTCTTTCTGGTGAGCACATACACCCTATAGCAAAAACCTCTCCAAAAAAACAAACAAAATTCCTGTTATTTGAGATTAAATGGGTAAGCCTAGAAGACATTATATTCAGTAAAACAAATCAGGCACAGAACAAGAAATACCAAAATCCTATTTTTTGTGGGGAGGGAGAGGTTTTCGCAATAGGGCGCGTGCACTTGCCAGACAAAGAGAGACATAGAGACAGAAAGCGAGAAATCACCCCCCAGGGGGATGGTCACGCCGCAATCCCTTCTCCTCCATTCTCCTCTCGGGATCTTGGGCATGCATGCACATGCACCAGGCGTGAGTTTTAAGCCACCGGGTCCAGGACCAAACCACGGTTGACTACGTGGGAGTCCAGCAACATAGCCAGTACGCTAACTGCTGGTCTCAATATGATAATTTTTTTTTTAAAAGAGAGATGCCCAGCCTTTTGGCCAGAACTGCCATCTTCCAGTAATTAACCAAAATGACGAACACATGGAACCTTTTAGAAAACATGGAGTTGTCCTTTGGCGACATATATGCGAATCTACAAGAAAGGTGATATTGTAGACATTAAGGGAATGGGTACTGTTCCAAAAGAAATGCCCCACAAATGTTACCATGGCAAAACTGGAAGAGTCTACAATGCTACCCAGCATGCTGTTGGCATTGTTGTGAACAAACAAGTTAAGGGCAAGATTCTTGCCAAGAGAATCAGTGTGCGTATTGAG